GAGGAACCAGAGTTCGAGATTTTCTGGTTTTAAGCCAATTTTCAGCCACAAGTGAGGGGGTTCTGAGTTTTAGAGAAAGAAAGCAATTCCTAGAGAGAAAGCGAGGAACCAGAGTTCCCAAGTGCCCTAGCTTGATCTTCATCACCATTGGAGCTCGGCTCACACTTGGAGAAGTGCCGATTGACGACCAGGAGCAGATTCTCATCCTTCACAGCATGATTTCTGCATCTGAGCTTGCTTTTGCTTCTCTCTCCATGGAGTAACTTCCTCATTCATCTGGGTATGGAGAACCCTAGATTTGTGTGTTAGGTCAGATTGTATGAACCCAAGTACAGATTCTGTGATTTGATTATATTCAATTGAGGTTTGAACTGTTGAATGGCATGAATCCTGATCAAATTCCTGTTGTTTCTGCTTTAACCTAGAAAGAGAATATCTGCCTAGGTTGATAGAGCACCCTTGATTGAAGGTAGGGAGTTGGTGACTTTAGTCGAGGAACCAACTCACTATTTTGTACCAAATTCACTTTGGTAGTGGTGGTTTTGTTCATTAGGGCCTCAATCTGTTTACTCTGGTGGAGGTTAGTCGCCCGCTGGAGACTCAGATTGAGAGGGTCTGGAGACCTTTAGTCGAGACTTCAGGCTATTTAAGAACCTCCCGCAGTATAACTATCAAAGAAATTGAACTTGGTAAATTGCAATCCGGCTTAACTACAGTCTAGGGGGAACCATATCCGGTGACCTCTCTCGACTTGAAAACAACTGTTTAATTGCTTTGCTTGTTTGTTAGTTTAGACCTTCACTAAAGTTTCACTACTAGATAATAAGAATTCACTAAGTAGTCATCACATTTAGGAAGTGGTTACACTTGACCATTTTTTAGAGTGACTGTAAGAGCTAGTCACGGTAGCTCAGATATGAGCAGTCACGCCTGATTTTGACAAGGATGATGGTTCGACATCTTCGGGACACAGATTATGCGGACCATACGAGGCATGGAAGACAATATGAGCTTGACTTTACATGGAGATGACGAGTCGACTTGATTGATGAAAACATTGTTGTTGTTGACCACAACGATGGCGAACTGGCTTCAACATACGTCTCTTCCCTTTCCGACGTGGTGACACAGACATGAATACAACGCTGGTGACAACGCTTTCTCCTCCGTGATGATGACGTATGTTGACTAAGTTCAGCGAAATAAACGTCGCTGATGAAGAGAACAAACCAGCGAGATGAACTTCGCTGGTTTGCGGAAGACTAGTTGAACCAGGCTTTGATACCATGAAGAATTCTATAACGTGGAAGGAAAAAGAACACGAAACAAGAGTTTTATGTGGTATCCCTGTTCGACGTGAACAAGAATAATCCACTACTGATATTTTATTAGGTTTACATTGTGACGGCTTGCTTACGACAGGTTCGTAGCTAAGTCTTCTATAGAGATAGACTAGGGTCAAAACACTAACGAGAAGAGTCGAGTATGAACAATTCCAGATAGACCATTACCGACTTCATGCCATTTGATAAAATAATCAACAATCCACCATAGACTTATGGTTGAATTTCTATTGAAAATTGTTGAGAAAGTGGCATATGCACCTTTTCCACTTCCACTAAAGCTCTTTAGGAAAATCATACACAACGTTTCTGATCACCGGATGGTGTCAGAGAAGATAGTAGTGTATTTTGTTGAGTCACATGTGTATGCAATTTTCAAGAAAATCATACCCATCTAAATTTGTTGTCTCCTTCAACTACTACAAAGGCAAGCACAAACTTTTGCTTGTCGCCTTCAACTGTGGCAATAAGCAAGCAACCTTGGCACTTTTTTGTTTCAATGACTAGCATACTTGATTATGAAACCATCATCTTATATGATATTTTTTACGGTGATGTTGAGTTGTGCGTCCACCGTGTTCTTGATGTTGTCACCCACATGTTTGGCATTGAGCTACTGGTGGTATTGGGAAATTGTAGTCAAATTATATGTGTGATTGTTCTCCAACTAATGAATCACCTATGAATTTTGTTTACATATCCATGCATCCCAAATATTCCACATTTATCCTTCTTGATATTTCATGTATATGACATGAATTTATTTTTGGTCGACTTATGGTTATGATGCTCAATTTTGCCAAACCGCTTAGTGTTTCAAAGCTTATCGATTTCACTCTCGATTTAAAATTTCATATCCACCTTGAACTCTATTGTTGGTTCCCATATAAGCAAAATGGGAAACTCTGGGTTGTCATCCTGACCATATATGGGAAATGGTGGGATCATTGTGTGGTGTTGTATGGGATGCTCATGTAGTCTCTCATCCTCATCATCCATTAAATACTAATTGATGTCAAATTCATCATTCTCATAATCTTCCCTGCCACTACTATACATAGGAGGCGACCTTTATCAATCTCGAAATAATGATGTACATCATTACCATGATTTCTCACTGCTCCCACATTCTCACTACATGACATATGTACAGAGGATCAAACATTTGTAGTCTAAGAAGATACTCCAACATTTGACTACTCTGAGCCCCATGTTGGTGTCATTAGACTTAATAAATGGAACAAGGGTAATAGATGATCCATAACCTTCTAACCACCATTACCAACTCCTTCTTAACCTCATGAATCATCATTATCATCTTGTCTATAACCCCTTGAATCACTACATGGTGGTAAGATGAAGTTGCACCACCATTTATAATGATTATTTTGAGCCCCCCATGTTGGCCACATCGTATCGTTAGACTCAATAAATGGAACTAAGTGTAATAGGTAATCCATAACCCCCTAAACACCATTACCAAACTCCTTCTTATCCTCATGAACCATCATTATGGTTACCTCCAATATACTAATAGACTCGTCAAAGTAATAAGGCACAAAATTAGATACTCATTATCTATCAGTTCCCGTAGGTTGAATAAAGAATCGAACTACTTCACTAAATCCATCAATGATTCCTCACTTGATTCAGTCCACTTCCATGCCCTTCAATATCCTCTCCATTTTCATTAATATTCTCATCATCGCTCACTTCTCTCTTCAACTGCTCCAGTGTCGCTTCCATGTCCTTCAATACACTCGTCAATTCGAACATTACCCTTACCAACTCCTTCTTCTCTGCCTTCACCTGCTGAAGTTGAACTTTACATGCTACCAAATCCAAACACAATTCATTCCCCATCACTTCCCTTCACATACCCAATGCCAACTCTTTTACTCCAAGTTCAATACCCCCAACTCCTAAATTGTTGCATGAAAGGTTAATTTTAGCAATCATTATGGTTTGCAATTAGATTAATGAACACTAAAATCATCAGCAAAATCAAAAGTGTCTAACTAATCCTAAAATAATAACAAAATTTGATCGATGAGCTGGACCATATAATCGAGATTAATGAGGAACAATATGATTGCAGAGAATATTAGTTATGACAAAATCAAACAGGAGCGAAAATATTGTAACGGAAAAGAATTTTTTTTCTTATTGTCATCTTATTTTGTTATTTCAATAGCTAAACATAGAACAAAAATAAATTACAAGAAACAAACAACCAAGAAAGTAAAAAGGGTGCAAGAAAAGTACAATTGTCTCTGTTCTACACAAACTTCTCATTTCGTTTCAAACAAATCTAGCACCCAAACCATCATTTAAATTTTTTTCCTATATTTTATAAATCAATCACAAACAACAAATTTAGATAAACTGGGAAGGAAATAATAGCCTACCAGTTCAATTCGAGGAACCTTCTATGAAGATAGAAAACTCATTCAAGTTGAAACCTAAGAACAGAAAGATGAGCAATGACTCAGGAGATCCACCAAACTTCAAACATCGTATCAGGCAATAGTATCAAGTACCATAAAAAATATATGGTAGATTTAGTGGGCTTGCTAATCATGATGAAAAAGTTATTTGATTTGCAGAGTGTAACTTTGTATATGTTTTGTATTTAAAAAGACCAACAAATTTGTTTAGTGTAATTGGTAATGATTCTTCTCTGTGTTTGAAGAGATTTGGGTTCAAATAGTGGCGAATGCAAGATACGAAACTACCCCTGTCCTCTTTTATAATTTATATATAATTATTTAATTAATAATTAATTAATTAATATAATTAAAATATATTATATCCAAATGATTCTTTCATAAATAAAAAATAATTGACTAATACACTCATTGTTTACATAAACAACAATGACGTGATTTCATATTGTGAAAGAAACGCAAATATATTATTTGTTTAGACTTTTAAGTAAGTGTTTTTCTATATATCCCACTAAACAATCATTAGAAAACAGGTCATCAATTCAACTTTGAAACTTATTCTTAGTATAACTCAAATCAGCAAGTGCTCTTTCTACACTTGCAGTTGCAATTGATAGAACAAAAACTAGTGGAATTGACATTGTCCTTGGGTAAAAATTGAATAGGCATAAGGAGAAAAGAAAATCGATTAGGTATTTATTTCAATTGGAATTATGTTTATAGTGTAACAAATTAATTTATATAAATTTATAAACAAGTAAAGAGTCGTGTTGTAGTGATTGTTAATGTAATAAACTGTGGTGTAGTGACAAAAATACTCTCGTATCGCTAATTATATATGTTATGTTTTATCCTCATATGTATCGGGGTTTTTTTCTTCCAAAATTTACCCCGGTCCCGTGACAATGTCTGGGAGGGTTGCCTCCGCCTATGGGTTCAAATCATGATATTGATATTTTTATATGAAATAATTAATTAATTATAAAGACAAAAATATGCTTTCTAATTTCACTTTGAAAAATTGAAATGAAAAAAATATACAAAACTCTACCATATATATAAATAAAAGTTATTCACTTATTTGTATATAAATACCGTTCTCAGTTACGCTAATCTACATATCCAACTTCATTTATTAATGAAGTTATAAAACCTTCTTCCAATCCCTGTTCCATTCCCCCCTCTGAAACTCACGCCGTGACGCGTACCAATGGACTCCCCTCTCGCCGTCTTCTCCTCCGCCGGCGCCGGGGCACTCCTCGTGGCCGGCACCCTCTACTGTTTGTTCGCCTTCCTACTCGGCCCCGTGGAGAAGAACAGCAATCCCGCCGTGAATCTCTCAGGCGGGTCGATCGCCGCCGGGAATGTGAGGGACAAGTACGAGTTCCGCCGCCCGAAGGAGACCGTCAGAGTCACCGACAAGGTCCCCGACTTCGTCGACACGTTCTACAACCTCGTAACCGACATTTACGAGTGGGGGTGGGGCCAGTCTTTCCACTTCTCGCCACCTGTCCCGGGAAAATCGGACGGTGAGGCGAGCAAGCTCCACGAGCTGATGATCGTGGATCTCATCGGGGCCAGGCCGGGGGATCGGATTTTGGATGTCGGATGCGGCATTGGTGGGCCCATGAGAACCATTGCGGCCCACTCGGGAGCCAACGTTGTTGGGATCACCATAAACGATTATCAGGTGAATTCCTCTCTGAAATTTTATAATCGACAATTCGTCTTATACTAGCATGATCATTATTCTATCTTTCTACTATTTTCTAGACAATTAAAATTATCATTAGATTATTTAATCGTCGTAAATCTTTATTATAATTTCAAGTTGGAATGTTAGATAACTTGTATAAATCTAAATCGTTAAAATCGATCAAATTTATTTTAAATCATTGAATTGAATAAAGAAGTAAAAAGATAAGTCAAAAATCATTGACAATAGGGGTTGTCGGACACCACCTACGCTAGTTACCTTTCTTTGTTTTTTTCTTTTCTTTTTCATATTTATTTGCTTTCCTTATTTTATCCGTTCCTTATTTTAATTCTTATTGAATTAAAACATTACGTAAGACTTCCGTAATAACTTATCACTTTACGTAACGTGAGGTTAATACTCATTACGTAAAGAGACCTTCCGCTACCTAAAGGTTACGGAATAATAGTTATTTCTTACGAAAAAATGAAATCGGAAGCATTACGTAAAGCTTCCATAATTATTTAGCTCTTTACGTAATACGACATTAATACTCATTACGTAAACACACCTTCCATTGTGTAAGGTTTCCGTAATGATATTTTACAACTGTTACGTAAAATATACATTCATTACTTAAAGGTTACGAAACGATAGTTATTTCTTACGTAACAGTTAAATCGGAAGCGTTACGTAAGACTTCCGTAATGACCTAACACTTTACGTAACGCGAGGTTAATACTCATTAAGTAAAAAGACCTTCCATTACGTAAAGGTTACGTAACGACAGTTATTTCTCACGTAACAGTTAAATCAGTAGTGTTACGTAAGGCTTCCGTAATGACTTAACATTTTGCGTAACACGCGGTTAATACTCATTACGTAAAGACACATTCTATTACGTAAGGCTTCCGTAATGATCTTTAACAACTGTTATATAAGATTAACATATGTTACTTAACCATTACGTTATGCCTATTTTATTTTAAGTAATGCGACCTGTGAAACCTGCTATTGCAGGTAAAAAAATTCAAGTTACCTTACTTCAAGTTACTCTAGGAAATCCCAACTATCTTATATAATTTAACAAGGTCAATTATTCATCAATTCGTACTAGTGGCAAACGAGTGGACGGCGGGTATTTGAATACCCATATGTTCTTGCCCCGCATGAAGTGCGAGTTTGGTAATACCCATGTTATTTGGGACAAAATACACACAAAATTTACTTTTCACGATAAAACGAAAGAAAACTACTTTATGAGTGGAGAAAATAGTGATATTAGAATAGGCAATGTCGTAATGCATATAACTCGTTGAAAGATCAAGTCTAAGAGCATCCACATTGATATTTCATTCTTAATTGCAAGATGATATGACATGAGTGTTTGCAATTGCAAAACCAATTACATTGATGTGGCTACCAATTGCATATTTGCAAGTTTGCAATAAATGCAATTGCATATGCAAGTAAAAAACGCTTAAAAAATGGAGATTTTTTATTTTATTTTATTAACTTTTCCCTTTTACTTTATTTTCTACATTATAAACATCATATTTAATTACATATGAAATTGCAGGTTAATTGCTAGGTGAATGAAAGTGATTTGAGGTAGATAGAAAAAAAAATTCAGCTGTCAATAAAAAGCATAAATGCAATTGTTTTTGCAATTGCATTGATGTGGATACTCTAACTAGTTAAAGAAAATACAAAATATGAAAAATATGAATATATATTATAAGAAATTAAGATAGACGGGACAAAAAAAAGTGAAGGATAGGGTTGGACAGATATGAAGTAAATACTCATACCCGCGCGCGTCACTCTACTGCAGATCCCGTATGTTCACACGAATCAGATCAGATAATACCAACGGAAAGGATTCAAATTTGTCATCCCGACTCGTACATTACTGTAGCGTGATTACACGTTGTAATAATAAAAAATTTGCTTACTCCTTTTGTGTTTTCATTTATACACTTAAACTTAATCACCCTACTAGGTAAACCGGGCGCGTACGCACAACAAGAAGGCAGGGCTGGACAAGCAATGCGACGTCGTCCAGGGGAACTTCCTGGCGATGCCGTTCCCGTCCAACAGCTTCGACGGCGCGTACTCGATCGAGGCGACCTGCCACGCGCCGAAGCTGGAGGAAGTGTACGCGGAGATCTTCCGCGTCCTTAAGCCGGGGGCCCTCTACACGTCATACGACTGGATCACCACCGAGAAGTACAGGCCGGAGGAGGACGCGGAGATAATCCAAGGGATCGAGAGGGGAAACGCGCTGCCGGGGCTGAGGAGCTACTCCGACATCACGGCGGCGGCGAGGGAGGTCGGGTTCGAGGTGGTGAGGGTGAGGGACCTGGCGCGTGAGCCGACGACGGCGAGGTGGCTGGAGGTGGGGAGGATGACGTACTGGAGGAACCACGTCGTGATCACGGTGCTGGCAGCGCTGGGGATTGCGCCCAAGGGGACGGTTGACGTGCACGATATGCTGAGGAAGACGGCGGATTGGTTGGCGAGAGGTGGCGAGAAGGATATATTCAGCCCGATGCATATGATACTGTGCAGAAAGCCTGCCTAGGAATCGGGAAGCGAAGTCGTTGATCGATTAATTAGGGGAGAATGACAGTTTGTCTTTGACGCCCTATAATAAATACAAGAAGCTACCTTTTCACTGCAAAAGAAATTTACTTATTAACCTTTGAAGAGTTTTGCCTGAACTTATGTTGATTCAAATTCTGGAGTTTTATTTTTAATTCACTGTTGCAATCTTTTATTTACTGCATGCCAGCAGAAGAAAGAATAAGAATTTCTAATTTATTACTAATTCATTTTCCGGTGAGATTTGGTTGATTGGTTTGTCAATGTTAGTTTTGCAATCACTATCACACAACCAACTACAACTAGGGCGGCAAACGAGTCGAGTCGAGTTTTTGTTCGGTTTGAGCTCAACTCGTTTATAAATTTGTCGGTTCGAGCTCGAATTTTGATGATAAGTCGGCTCGAGGTCGAGCTCGGCTCGATTAAAAATAATCCAGCTCGAGCTCGACTTGGTAGAGCTCGGTAAATTTTCATTAACACAGCTTGTAAAACTGAGTACCAGCTCGGCTCAAGATGAGCTCGATTTGAGATTATTATTACTGAAAATTGTGTACACATAAGAGTTTAAATGATAAAAAGAACACAAGAAACTATAAATAATAGGTAACTTTCACACATCTGTATTAAAAGTTAATGTTCATGTTCAGAAGAGGTATTAATCATTCCACCGGCTCTAAACAAGCTAGCTCGAGAGGTTAGCTCAACAAGCCACCGAGTCAAGCTAGCTCACGACCTTATCAAGCTGCACATTCTAGCTCAAATTTGGCTCGTTTGCTAACGGGTCGGCTCGCGAGCCAGCTTGTTAACTAATAAGTCGAGTGTCGAACGAATTTAAACCAATTCGAACGCCAAGTTGCTCGCGAGCGACTTGGCTCATTTGCAACCCTAACTACAACCAACGGTTAAATAATTTGGCATATGATATACTACAGGTTGTACATTGGTGGCTATATGTAACATTCATAACCCGAACAATTGTGATTTAACTTTTGTATCATTCTCTTTGCAATCCAAACGTCGTTAAAATGATTATCGTCCAATTGAATTAGCAAAATTGCATTAATATAGACATAATATAATGACCTTTTTCTATCAACATGATGTCAATTTGAGCTAGGGGTGTTGCGGTTAATAAACCGTGTTAGTGATGATCCTTGTTGGGCCTTGCCCGAGTCGCTGTAGGTACAGATATTTGGCCGTATTCGACTCTTCTCGTTAGGGTTTTAACTATAAGTCTATTTCTATAAAAGTTTAGCTGCCATCTTTCTGTGGTACGCAAGCTGTCACAATGTAGTCCCATAATAAAATCGTCACCCGTGAGCTCTTCCGAGCTCACCGTGGATTAGTCTCTATCAATCAATCGAATATACCACGTAAAATCTCGTGTCTCTCTTGTTATTTCGATCTTACGCAGTCATCAAATTCTTCAACGGGCGAAGCCAATATTTGAAGTTGGGGGATTTGGTTAATCAAAGTAATAATGGGGCCACTTACACCCCTGATTTGAGCTCAACGCTATTCTATTTATCTTCATCTTCCAGCTCGTATTTGAATTACAACAAAGCACTCGACTCAAATTTGATTGTGCCACTTACAGGATAACATTGAAATTTCGATCTCAAGACCATACAACGCGTAAACCCATTGAAAGAAATTTTCAACAAAACCAAAGATACGACATACGAGTACTATCTCACCACTTCTACCAGATTTCACCCCAATTTGGGCGGGAGTAAACTGAAGCCCATTAAATGCACTTTGGGCCAATCCAGTTGAACATCATACACTTCTTTGGACCGGTTAGTTCTCGGGAAAAGGCCCAAACCAAAAACCAGAAGCCCAGTCCACCTAAAACTCCATATATCTCCCCTGGAAAAGCAGTGAACTACTGGTTCTTGTTGGATCCGGTTGGCGCTATGCAACCCAACAAAAATAGAGTGCGTTAAACAGTCAAATTCCAACATCCCTACGCTTGTAGACATTTCCCATACCCACGTGTTCATGTTGAACTCTGTCTCTAAATAAATCAAATACACTCAGGCCTCAGCTCAGCTGGCGAAGTAATCAATTAAAATAAGAGCATTCACGATTCCCTCTCCTAAAATCCGGATATATATAAACCCACTCAAAACCCCAGCCGAAGAAGAGAAAAAAAGCCCAACAAAAAACTCCCTTTGTCTCAATGGAATCTCTCGCCCTTCTCTTCACTGGCGGCGCCCTCCTCGCCGCCGCCCTCTACTGGTTCGTCTGCATTCTCGGCCCCGCCGAGCAGAAAGGCAAGCGCGCCGCCGACCTCTCCGCCGGCTCCATCTCCGCCGAGAAAGTCCAGGACAACTACAACCAGTACTGGTCCTTCTTCCGCCGCCCCAAGGAGACCGTCGGAGTCGCCGACAAGGTCCCCGATTTCGTCGACACGTTCTACAACCTCGTCACCGACATCTACGAGTGGGGGTGGGGCCAGTCCTTCCACTTTTCCCCTTCCCTACGCGGCAAATCCCACGCGGAGGCCACGCGCCTCCACGAGGTCGCCGCCGCCGACCTCATCGGGGCCAAACCGGGCCACCGTGTGGTCGACGTCGGTTGCGGCGTCGGTGGCCCCATGCGGGCCATCGCGGCCCACTCACGCGCCAACGTCGTGGGGATCACGATCAACGACTACCAGGTGAAACGTGCGCGGGACCACAACAGGAAAGCCGGGCTCGACGCGCTCTGCGAGGTCGTGCAGGGCAACTTCCTCGAGATGCCGTTTCCTGACGGTTCGTTCGACGGCGCGTACTCCATCGAGGCCACCTGCCACGCGCCCAGGCTGGAGGAGGTGTACGGGGAGATCTTCCGCGTGCTGAAGCCCGGCGCGTTGTACGTGTCGTACGAGTGGGTGACGACGGAAAAATTTGCGGCGGATGATGCGGAGCACGTGGAGATTATTGAGGGGATCGAGAGGGGCGACGCGCTTCCCGGGCTGAGGAGCGTGGGGGACATCGGCGCCGCCGCGAGGGCGGTGGGGTTCGAGATTGTGGCGGAGAGGGATCTGGCGGCGCCGCCGGCGGGGCCGTGGTGGTCGCGACTGAAGTTCGGGAGGATTGCGTACTGGAGGAATCACATTGTGGTCTCGGTGCTAGCGGCGGTCGGGGTGGCGCCGAAGGGGACGGTGGACGTCCACGAGATGCTGTGTAAGACGGCGGAGTATTTGACCAAGGGCGGCGAGAAGGGGATATTCAGCCCGATGCACATGATTCTCTGCAGAAAGCCCGCAGAGAAGTAAACGGTGACGTAAGGAGTCAACTGACGACGTTACGCGCCGTTCTACCGTTATGTTTTTTTCCACTCCTGGTTTTAGTTTGTTTTCTTGTGTTTCCCTTGCCGTAATCCGTACCGAGCTTAGGATTTCTTCTTTTTTATATTTAGTTTTGTGAATTTACTGGGAAGGAAATATGTGGTGTAATTTTTTTTCCTTTATTTGTTTTACTGCTGTTGATAGTGGAAGAATAAAAAATGGCAAGAACATAGTTATCTGAATTGTGATTTCCGTGTTTTTCTTAAAACTAGTCATTAATTTGCTTTTATTTAAAAGGAAGTCATTAATTGCTTTTGCTAGACAAAATTGAAATGTAGATGACTTAGCTTGTTGCATTAGGTTTACACAAAAAAATTATCTCAACGGTTGAGGTAATACCACAATTTTTTTCCAAAGGATGCAAGGCTTACTAGCTCTTAATCATTAATAAGATGGACGTAAAATCGTTAACAGAGACAAACACTGTCCTGCAACAAACATCAACGTCACGGAACTCAAAAGAATGAGAACCAGGAGGCAAAGAATGCCTCTTATGTGCTAAGCAATCGACCAAGAAGTTATTTTTTGGGTTAGGGATTAAATGATTTTGTGGGTTTAGTGGTATTATCTCAATGGTTCACAATTTTTTCGGTTGATTGAGAACATATAAGTATCCTTTTAGATGATCTTATAAAATGTAAACAAGGAATAAAAGACTGAGATAGCTAGAATTACTTTGTGAGCAATCATCACTGTAATAAGGGCAGTTAGTCAAGTTTTATTCCTAAACTAATATAACAAACATTGCATTGCATATAAAGAAAAATTAATCAAAATCCGAAAAAAAAAATTGTCCTTATTTAATTCGAAAAGAAAATGCAATACAAAACTGGAACCATTCTTAATTTTCTTTCACGTTTTTTTTATACATTTCTCATTCTTAATTTGAAAAAAAAAAGAGTAAAGTGGAGGCTAAGCTCTTTCCTTCCACTAGAACGATGGTTGAGTTTTATTTTTGGTCCCTATGACTTATGGAGTTATGGTGGAGTGGGCGGCCGGCCGGAGAGAAGGGAAAAGAGAAGAGATAACACACAAAGGCGCACATGATATGGAGAAAAGAGACCTTTTTTGTTGCTGTTGCAAAAGTTCTCTTTAGCTTTTGTATTTTTGCTGCATGTAGCTTTCTGCATTAGACACACTTACTGGACCTCAACTCAAAGACTTTCGTGGATAAATTATTCACCAATCTGCTTGATTTGCGCTTACTTACTACACGGGTTAGAGAAAAAAGCTAAATGGTGGTAAGTACACAAGGATTGATGAAGTCCTAATATGGAGTGATGATGCGTGATAAGCATGACGTACAATGTAATTCAGTGGAAAGTGACAAAAGAGAGAGAAAGAAGGAATAGGAACGGAAAGATGCTTCCTCTAGTCGGAAAAACGCCCGCGGGGGATCAGGGTCGTCAGGGGAGTGATTCAGGAGTGTCAGGGTGAGGTGGTTTTCGACTCATCAGGGCTCTTCTTTGTCTTTGTCTTGCAGGTATGAAGCTTCAGGGTCAGATTTTAGCTTTGGCAGACGAGGAGAGATTTGGCGAAGTCTGAGACTCGAATCTAAGCGGGTGTCCATCAGCAGTATCAACAGTAAAACAGTTAGGATGTTTAAACCCCAAGTGGAAGACAGTAGAAGGAGATGGTTTGTCTTATTAGATGAAAGTCAAATCATATGGCTTCAAGGGACTCTTCAAACGGCGGCTATGAGGGATTGGAAGTTTCCCTCCCACTGTGTCAAAAAGAGTGGTGCTCGCTCCATCCATATCGGGAAGTTCAACAGACACCGTGGAGAGTTCTTACAGATATCTGAACAAACGAGCACGGGCAAAGTTTTCAAAGTGATCATCCCGGCCTCGGGTAACAATCGCGGATGGGCTAAGTCGATTCATCTCCTTCAAGTATTCTACAAAGCTGAACTTCGCGCCCGTATTCACCATGATCAAATCGCGGCCAATATCTCGTCCGAAGGTGCCACACAGACTGATTGTCATCTGCATTCTTACGCAGATGCGGTCAAATACGGGGGCTTTTATGGAGGAGGAAAATGCTCTATAAGAACCAACCATCAAGGAAGCTATATCGATGTTGGCAATGAAGGGATCAAGGAGAGGACCGACATCCTTGACAGAAGTTTACTCATTTCGTTCGAAAACAGTAGCAACATCTTCTTCAGCAAATGTCTGGTGCCTGAATTTTGGAAATGGGCCACAAAAGCCTGGGCTATTGACGAAAACTTTGCTCTAGAGGATCGCTCCAATGGCAGCTGGCTTCTCATCTGTCCGTCCATCGCCGATGCTTTGCGCATTCGGAAAATCGAGAGATTGCAGTTCAGGGATTTCACAATCAAGGTGAGTAGTAGGGATGCCTTCGACACTCACCCTTTGGAGTCAGTAGGATGGATTTGAGCCTTCAACATCCTGCTTCACCTCAAAAGTATCGATTTACTCAAAACTATTGGAAATTTCTACGGAGGATTCGTCGATCTTGACTGGGATTCTTGGTCTCTTCCCTTCGTTCGTATAAGAATCAAGAAGAATCCGAACATACAAAAGTTTATTCTTGTTCGTCACGGGACAAATGTTTACCATGTCAAAATTTTCGTCCCTCCATCGGGAAAAGAAGCCCCACCGGAAGTTTCCTCTCGTCGGCGACAGGGGCAGGAGATCAACAGACGTCACTCGGATTTTGCACCTACTTTATCCGCATGTAGCAGCCGCCCTCGACGTACGTGGCTCCCAAACTCCAACATGACGGGTAGCCAAAGCGTCTCTTTGAATCATAGAGCTTCTAATGGGCCCTCTTCATCTAACAGGAAAGATGGACCAAAACGTATTTGGTTCCGTAAAGCTGGGCCCATATACCGACATGCTCCTGCTGTCTCGCCTCTCAGCCCAAACCCCCAACCCTCTCATCATCTGTACCTCTTTATTCCAATCCGACCGACCGCCACCTACTCCCTGCCCCTCTGCCTCTTTCGCATTCGCCTAACTCAGCCTCTTCCTTTCCTTACCCAAATCTTCTCAACTCCATTCTCTCCTTCCTCCCCCTCCCTCGGTCAATCAACACCCTATTAATCACCTCCACACCTTTCCCTCACCATAACCATAACCAAATCCCGTCCATTGTCACCTTATCCGACACTCCCAGTCATTTCTCTTTTTCCTTCTCTACTGGGCGCCTCAGCTTCCCTATACCTCCCACCATCCTCTCTCAAGCCTCCACCACTCCTTTCTCCCTCACTCTTCCATCTCCCGAGCCAATTAGCTGCACACAAATCGAAGACTCCTGGCTTCATGAAACCCCTCAAGGCTCTCCGACCTCCCCATCCTTCAAACCTCTTTCTAGTGGCTTATTGTCCAAGAGCAGTGAGCATGACTTGCACTCCTCTGAATTGGGTAGGGAGGAGTCATTCGTCGCCCCCGATACCTCCGTGTAGGACCTATCCGTGTCCAATGTCGGTGTCGAGGTTGATTCTCTCTCTTCTGAACTCAATGAAGAAGCTGATCCCCACCTTCCCTCTCCCTCATGTTTCACAGAATATCCGATAAGCAGTTGGGACACTAGCGTATACCCCTTTGATGCCAACTCCTTAAAGGATACTTGTATCCAACTCAGCCATCTGTTCGAACTTGGCGAGGAGCAAACTATCAATCAGGTTGACAGTTTCATTGCTCATACAGCTCAAGAGACGCACCAGAGAAAGATCAGAGGACACCGCTCTAAATTCGAGATGGAAGCTCGTTGATTAGGACCTCTTGCACCTCCTCCGTCGGGGCCGAGGAGCTGCAGAAAACAGGTTAGAGGCTCTATTGGTGATCTTTTATGATGAATACGAACATATTTGTTTGGAACGCCAGAGGATTGGGTGACTCGGACAAAAGGGATCGAGTTAGGAGAATTATCAGATCTAAGAAAGCAAGTATTATAGGCATCGTGGAAACCAAGTGGACTTGTTGTACCGACGAACTTGTGAAAAGTATTTCTGGTAAAGGTGATTTTGGCTGGGTGGCTAAGAACGCTATTGGTAGTTCGGGAGGTATTGTTATAATTTGGGATAAGCTTCGGTTCCAACAACTCTCTACCAGAGAAGACACTTTTTTCATCAACGTCGAATTCAATGATATTGAGAACTCGAGCATATGGCATTTGGCTATCGTTTATGGTCCTCAAGACCGGGCGGATAAATTGGTTTTTCTTCAGGAACTCCACATGTACTGTCAGAGTATTCAGGGAGTCTATTGTTTAGCGGGTGATTTTAACTTAGTCAGATGTCATGAGGACTACACAGGCACTAGACGAAGTACTGATCTCATGGACAGATTCAATGATATAATTGATTGCAATGCCCTCTTGGAGGAAGCCACTTTACCTGGTGTCATGGAGCAGGTAGTTCCTCTCTGTCCAGAATCGATCGGGCACATCTCCAGCGGTTTTGATACCATCGCTCCCACCTGCTCTTTGACAGCTCTTCCTCGCGTCGATTCTGATCACAACCCCCTTCTCATCTCTTTGGGTGTTCTTCGGATTATCAAACGCCCATGGAGATTCGAAAATATGTGGCTAGAAGACGATCGCTTCTATACCAGCCTCTCCTCGCTGATCCTCTCTCCTTTGGACGGATCTGGTCACATCTTCCGATGGGCTAAGAGGCTGCAGTCTCTGAAGCAGGAAATTAAGTTATGGAACAAGCACACATTTGGGAACATTCACGAGAAAGTCACTGGTCTATTCAAGGAAATCGAAGAGATGGACTTATTGAGCGAAAGCAGAATTCTATCTGACGATGAGAGAAGCAGAAGATACGAGTTGGAAATTGAGCTCAAGAATGCTCTTAATATGCAGGAAATATGTTGGAGACAGAAATCCCGGGAACTGTGGCTCAAGTACGGTGATCAAAACTCTGGTTACTTTCACAAAATGGCAAACTTCAAGAG